CCTGCCCCCTCCCCAGGCCCTCACCGCACGTGTGCATATAGGTCCTGTGGTTAATCCCTTCCCGCCCCCTCCGCCCCTTCCCTCTGAGATCCTCGGTGTGGCCCGTGGTTCTCTGTCCGGATCTATTTTGTTGTCAGTTAGATTCCACGTGTGAGTGAGAGCACGTGGCCCTCGTCTTTCCCCGACTGGCTCATTTTGCTTAGCATAGTAAAGTTGCATTTGTTTAATCAGCTCAGCGTCTGGGCTGGAACCGAGGTGGGTTCTGGCTCAGGGGCCTGTCCGAGTGGCGCCCGTGCTTCCTTCTCCGGCAGGTCCCCTCCCCACAGCCTGGGGCTCGGTGCTGAGAGCCCTCCGGTGCCCCCAGTGGCTGTATCTCTGGGGTTAACCTACCTGCGCGCTCTCCTTCCAGGAGACGCCCTCCGAAAGCCTCGCCTGCAGAAGTCGGTCACCTGGTACCTGGACGATGTGTTCTTCACGCTGTACCCTTCCCTTGAGAAGTTTGAGGAGGAGCTCCGGGAACTCCTCACCAGCGATCACTTCCGGGAGGTAAGTCACACGTCCCGGGCTCAGTCCCAGCCACGGAGATGCCATGGCCGCCCGGGGAGGGGTGGGGGGTAGTCCAGCCACAGGTGCTCTGCTCTGCTCCGGTCTTTTCCCACTTTGTGGCTGACATGACTTTGATGGTGACAAAGGTGCTGTTATCCTGAGACATTAATCAGCATTAATTTTGATGTATCTTAAACCAGTCCCCATTTAATAGGTAAATTAAGTCACCAAATGAGTGTCAGGAAACCCGTGAAATGATCTACGTTTACCGAGGATGTTTTGAGGATTTCGGCTCCTTCCAAGGAGATGATTAGAAACCCCGATCATTTTACCCCATCGCAGCCGATTTCTGTGCAAGGTGCCCCCTTAAACTTGCCAGGATTGCTGGCTGTGAACCCTCCTGGAAGCTCTTCACCTGAAGCCTGTGTGTGGGGCGCCCTGGATGTGACGATGCCTCCTGCCCACCTAGTAGTTGTGGCGACGCCTTGTGCCCAGCGGGGGCCTCTGAGCATGCAGCACCCTGTCCTGCGGTTCCTTGTTCAGATCTGTGGGGGGTCCTCAGGCTTTGGGTCTCAGTGCAGGTCTGCTTCCTGAGGGCCTCCCCCCTCCTGACAGGCTCCCTGTGAGAGCACCCGGCTCCTTCCCTGTCACCCGGGCTCCCTGTGAGAGCACCTGGCTCCTTCCCTGTCATCTGGGCTCCCTGTGAGAGCACCCGGCTCCTTCCCTGTCAGCCGGGCTCCCTGTGAGAGCACCCGGCTCCTTCCCTGCCAGCCGGGCTCCCTGTGAGAGCACCCGGCTCCTTCCCTGTCATCTGGGCTCCCTGTGAGAGCACCCGGCTCCTTCCCTGCCAGCCGGGCTCCCTGTGAGAGCACCCGGCTCCTTCCCTGTCATCTGGGCTCCCTGTGAGAGCACCCGGCTCCTTCCCTGCCAGCCGGGCTCCCTGTGAGAGCACCCGGCTCCTTCCCTGTCATCTGGGCTCCCTGTGAGAGCACCCGGCTCCTTCCCTGCCAGCCGGGCTCCCTGTGAGAGCACCCGGCTCCTTCCCTGTCATCTGGGCTCCCTGTGAGAGCACCCGGCTCCTTCCCTGCCAGCCGGGCTCCCTGTGAGAGCACCCGGCTCCTTCCCTGTCATCTGGGCTCCCTGTGAGAGCACCCGGCTCCTTCCCTGCCAGCCGGGCTCCCTGTGAGAGCACCCGGCTCCTTCCCTGTCATCTGGGCTCCCTGTGAGAGCACCCGGCTCCTTCCCTGCCAGCCGGGCTCCCTGTGAGAGCACCCGGCTCCTTCCCTGTCATCTGGGCTCCCTGTGAGAGCACCCGGCTCCTTCCCTGCCAGCCGGGCTCCCTGTGAGAGCACCCGGCTCCTTCCCTGTCATCTGGGCTCCCTGTGAGAGCACCCGGCTCCTTCCCTGCCAGCCGGGCTCCCTGTGAGAGCACCCGGCTCCTTCCCTGTCATCTGGGCTCCCTGTGAGAGCACCCGGCTCCTTCCCTGCCAGCCGGGCTCCCTGTGAGAGCACCCGGCTCCTTCCCTGTCATCTGGGCTCCCTGTGAGAGCACCCGGCTCCTTCCCTGCCAGCCGGGCTCCCTGTGAGAGCACCCGGCTCCTTCCCTGTCATCTGGGCTCCCTGTGAGAGCACCCGGCTCCTTCCCTGCCAGCCGGGCTCCCTGTGAGAGCACCCGGCTCCTTCCCTGTCATCTGGGCTCCCTGTGAGAGCACCCGGCTCCTTCCCTGCCAGCCGGGCTCCCTGTGAGAGCACCCGGCTCCTTCCCTGTCATCTGGGCTCCCTGTGAGAGCACCCGGCTCCTTCCCTGCCAGCCGGGCTCCCTGTGAGAGCACCCGGCTCCTTCCCTGTCATCTGGGCTCCCTGTGAGAGCACCCGGCTCCTTCCCTGCCAGCCGGGCTCCCTGTGAGAGCACCCGGCTCCTTCCCTGTCATCTGGGCTCCCTGTGAGAGCACCCGGCTCCTTCCCTGCCAGCCGGGCTCCCTGTGAGAGCACCCGGCTCCTTCCCTGTCATCTGGGCTCCCTGTGAGAGCACCCGGCTCCTTCCCTGCCAGCCGGGCTCCCTGTGAGAGCACCCGGCTCCTTACCCATCACCTGGGCTCTCTGTGAGAGCACCCGGCTCCTTCCCTGCCAGCCGGGCTCCCTGTGAGAGCACCCGGCTCCTTCCCTGTTCACTGGTTGACCTCGGCCCCTCTTGCAGCATTTGCACCAGGGGACAGGACATGCTTGGTTCAGCCTGCACCTGACGGGAGTGACAGTATTGGTGCGCAGTAGGCCTTTGATGTTCAGTGTGGTGAGCGTGATGCTCCAGGGTATGGGTGCCTGTCCTGTTGTCTTAGCGGTCAACGGATATTAATCTCACACACACGCACACACATGCACACACACTAATGAGGTGGCCGTCCTTGGAAGTGTAGCTCCAGCGACCATGGTCCCATCNGGGTCAACGGATATTAATCTCACACACACGCACACACGAATGAGGTGGCCGTCCTTGGAAGTGTAGCTCCAGCGACCATGGTCCCATCTGAAACAAGCACCACCGAGGGGACTGACGTGGCGACTGGGTTTCCAGGTGCAGCTCCCGCTGTCTCCTTGCTGCTCAAGTCTTTCAGGATATTGTTGAATTTCACGCGTTCCCATAAAACCCCTTCATTATGTGCTTTTACCACCTGCATTTTGTTCCCATCTCGCTGGCAGGTACTCGGTCGCCCCCACAGGTCTGCTTTCCTTACTCAGGGGCTAGCGGGCTGCACTCAGGCCTGGCTGCTTGATGAGTGGGCAGTGAGCAGTACTTGAAGATTCAGGGATCATTCTGCGGCAGTCCCACAGTTTAATACCCAGGAATAGCCCGGAGGACTGTCCTGGCTCGTCCGTTGGAGCGCCTGTGCATTTTCTGTTAGGATGAAACACTTTAATATCCAGCGATCACTTTGGGGCAGAGTCCATTTTTATTGGTTTCTGACTTACCGCTGAACAAGCTCCCTCTTCCAGCTGCCTGTCTGCCCCCCTCCCCCCGTCTCCTGTGTTCGAGTCCTGCGGAGGGCAGAGGCTGGGAAACCTGCCGGACCTGCCTCCAGGTGCCTCCCGCACCTTGGAGTGCCGGTCGGTCGTGTGAGAGGTGCTGAGGTCCCTGGCTGCTAGTTTGGTGCATCTTGAGAATGGTTGCTCAACCCTGGAAACCTGGGGCAAGAGTTTCCTGACAGGGCATCTGAGGGGATGCATTGGGGCACATTGCTCTGAGCAGATCACGCTGTGTGAGAAAACTCCAAACTCCCTAGAAAGTGCCCACCCTGAGCCCAGCCCGTTTCAACTGGTTGATGTATCTGTCCTTCGCTGGGACCCTTTGTCACTGAGCACCCTGTGACCTGGAAAGGTTTGAAACTCCTGTCACAGCCTCTCCTCTCCACTTGCCCCTCTCCCCTGGGACTTTGCCCGTGAGCCCCCTTCTCCTTCCGACCAGGCCTGGTGGTGTCTGACGTGTGCTTTCCCCAGGGGGGCAGCCCGCTGGACGGCAGTGCCCTGGAGATCTCGGAGCGGCGCCTGTGCGTCGGTGTGCACAACGGTCTGGGCTTTGTGCAGCGGCCGCAGGTCATGGTGCTGGTGCCCGAGATGGACGTGGCCTTGACGCGCTCGGCCAGCTTCAGCAGGAAGGTCGGCTCCTCCTCCAGGGCCAGGTACTCGCCCAGGGTCCCGAGTCCCAGCCCCGGGGAATGAGGAGCAGTGGGCAGCCAGCTGAAATGAAGTTCTTGCCTGTGAGCTGGGCCCTCCCCCACCCAGGCCCTTCCCTGGTGCCTTCATTTCCTCTTGCTAAGCTGTTCCCATTTGGAGCTGACCTTGGTGTTGTGAGATTGGAAAAATCCCATTTCTGTGCTGCGACAGTTTTGGAATTAGCATTTCGGGCGCTCCCAGGTGTGGCCGCTTATGGTCAGTGCTGACCACCAGGTGTGCCCTGTGCTCAGGTTCTCGCAGGATAGAGAACCAGAGGGCAGCGAGTCCTGCTGCTCGGCTCAACCTGTGCCTCCCAGACCAGAACCAGAGGCCTCTCCACGGGGTGGCCCCCACCCCATGAAGTCAGGCAGAGGCTGGCCCCGGAGGTGGTACCTCCCCGGAGCCTGGCCCTGTCATTCCATCCCCCTGCCACAAGCCCTGGCAGTTTGGACAAACTGATCATTGTGGCCCCTGAAAAGGCCCTGGTTTGGGGGATTACCCTGGGAGTCAACACAGAAGGGCTTAGTGGCATTGCCCTGGGTGGGGTCTCACTACACCGGCCCCCAAGAGGACAGTGGTGGAGGTGGGCACAAGGTGGCAGGAGCCACACCTGCCACCCCTGCCACCTGCTCTTGACCCAGCTCTGGAAACCAGGCCCTGGTGCTGAGAAGCCGCCTCCGGCTCCCCGAGATGGCCCGTCACCCTGCATTCGCCATTGTCTTCCAGCTGGAGTACGTGCTGAACAGCCCTTCGGGAGCAGATGGCAACGTAAGATCCCCGTGCTGGTTCAGGTCCCCACTGGCGAGGACCTAACGTGTCCCCATTACCGCTCCTCCAGTGGAGCAACTGGATAATGCTTGGGGTGTGGCTCTGGAAACCCTTCCTGGGGGTAACCCGTCATTCCCGTCTCCGTGATGACAGTCGCCTGCCGGCAGGTGGGGCCACGCATCCAGTGGGCGTGCATCATGATCGTATTAACTTGTAATTACCCACCTGGCAGTGACGGTGAAGGCCGAGGCCATTTCCTGCATTTTCCATGCGCTTTCAGGGCAGTCAGGTGCGGGTCTGCAGTAATGCATGGCTTCTCATGGCTTCACACATGCCTGTGTCAGGACTGGGGACCGGTGGGGTGCAGCTGGGAGAGACACAGCAGCCAGACTCCGCTGACGTGGGGTCTTTGGAAAACCCAAATCATGCTGCTCTTGAGATTTATTTTTCTGCTTGAATATGCAAATATCAATCTAACAAGTCAATTAGAAATTGAGGAGAGGCCCACAAGACACCTTCCGAGGTGGTGGGTCTGTCAGGAGGTGGTGGCCGCCAGCGTTGCCGTTTAGCTGATGGGAGAGCAGAGGACCGTGGCCACGGGGTGAGCCTGGGAAGGGGACGGTGTGGGGCACGCAGACTGTGTGTTTTCCCACCTGCTCTGGCAGTGGCAGACTGACCTCCCCGACGCACACATGTGAAGTTGGAGTAATTCAGGGTCCTGTTCGGGGGAACAGATCTAGAGTCTGGTGTTCTGATGGCTGAACACAAGCTCACAGTCGCTCTGATGAGGCTCTGCTTCTCTATTACCAGGAATCTCAAGTGAAACGCACCTGTGGTGAATGTGCCTGCTGCTCGGGGTGGGCACTCAGCTGGGGCTGGACCTTCACCAAGAGGGATGGGCATCTGGGGCTGTGACAGGAGCCTGGGGGAGGAAGTGTGGGTGCAGGTGTGGCATCTCTGGGTGTCGTCCAGTGGGTTGGAAGGATTGGGAGGGCTCCAGCCATGTGCAGGAGGCCTGACGCCTCAGTGGGGACTCCACACGGCTCTCCACTCCTCATTTACATAAGATAATGCTCCCTCCGGAACGTTAATTCTGCTTTGCTTGAGATTATGAGCATCTGTGAGCTGAAGCTGACACTTCACTATTTTGAAACTCTCCACGGAAAAGCTGCTCCAGCGGCGGGTGGACCTGACCTCAGGGCGTTCCTTGGCATTCCGTGGCTCCACCCTCTGCCCCTGTCTGCATGTGGCCTCCCTCTGTGTGTCTCTCTGCCTCAGATCTCTGTCCTGCTCTTACAAGGTCACTTGTTATTGGATTTAGGGCACACCGGGGTAACAAGCTTTCCTCACCTCACGGTACTTACTAATTTCATCTGCGGGGACCCTTCACAAGTAAGGTGACGTCACAGTCCAGGGGTTTGGATGTGGACATGCCTGTTGGGGCCACCCCAACAGCACACCCAAGGGACCCCGGATTGTAGCGTTCCCAGGGGTCAGGTGTCTGTCTTCTGTCTTCACTTTGCCCGTGAGTGTTGGGTAACACTTCTGCTCCACAACAAACCAGGCTCATGGTCCGGTGTAGTCCTCTGGCCTTTTGTGTATTGTTTGCTGTTATAATTAAAAGCCTAAATGGGAACAATTTGAAGAATTTTTTTCTTTTCAGTTTGTATGAAATCAAGCCCAGCTTGTCAGGATAGGGGATATATAAAGTAACAGATCTGACCTCAACCTCCGGAGTCCAGTGGTGGGAGGAGCTTTGTCACTGCCCAGCTGGGGGCACCTGACCTTCTCAGAGCGGGGGCAGGGCTGGCCAGGGAGGGTCCGGCCCGCAGGTGTCACCCTGGCCACTCCGGAGAGAATGCAGGCTAATAAATGGCAATCAGATTGCCTCAAGCCCTAATTGTTCTGCTGAAGTCTTTGTGAACGAGTGATCAATAACTCACTAAGCATCCCCTCTTGTTGGCGGTTAAAAACAAAAGCAGGGAAAATGGATGTACGGGTAACTGATAGATATTTCACCCAGAAGAGGGCCCTATTGATTGTGAACTAAAAAACCACAAGGAGCTGTGAAACTGGAAAATTAGGTATCAGAATCACCTAATTTAAAAATTAGATCAGGAGTTACACAGATAGCATGGAAAGTTGGATTTTATTTTGTTTTGACTCTGTAATAAACTGGATTTTATAGATGACTGCTTATGAAAGTCGTCTAGATGTGATTGAATCCTTGCAGTTTTTCAGTCTCCAGTTTTCCGAATACACATGTAATACTTTTATTTTTGGAAGGCAATGGATCTGTAATCAGCTCTTCATTGGTGTACTGTAGCTACTCATTTCTATACTGTAGCTGCTCAGTGATTACTGTAGGTGCTCACTGATTACTGTAGGTGCTCACTGGTTACTGTAGCTGCTCAGTGGTTACTGTAACTGCTCAGTGATTACTGTAGCTGCTCAGTGGTTACTGTAGCTGCTCAGTGGTTACTGTAGGTGCTCACTGGTTACTGTAGCTGCTCAGTGGTTACTGTAGCTGCTCAGTGGTTACTGTAGGTGCTCACTGGTTACTGTAGCTGCTCAGTGGTTACTGTAGCTGCTCAGTGGTTACTGTAGGTGCTCACTGGTTACTGTAGCTGCTCAGTGGTTACTGTAGCTGCTCAGTGGTTACTGTAGGTGCTCACTGGTTACTGTAGCTGCTCAGTGGTTACTGTAGCTGCTCAGTGGTTACTGTAGGTGCTCACTGGTTACTGTAGCTGCTCAGTGGTTACTGTAGCTGCTCAGTGGTTACTGTAGGTGCTCACTGGTTACTGTAGCTGCTCAGTGGTTACTGTAGCTGCTCAGTGGTTACTGTAGGTGCTCACTGGTTACTGTAGCTGCTCAGTGGTTACTGTAGCTGCTCAGTGGTTACTGTAGGTGCTCACTGGTTACTGTAGCTGCTCAGTGGTTACTGTAGCTGCTCAGTGGTTACTGTAGGTGCTCACTGGTTACTGTAGCTGCTCAGTGGTTACTGTAGCTGCTCAGTGGTTACTGTAGGTGCTCACTGGTTACTGTAGCTGCTCAGTGGTTACTGTAGCTGCTCAGTGGTTACTGTAGGTGCTCACTGGTTACTGTAGCTGCTCAGTGGTTACTGTAGCTGCTCAGTGGTTACTGTAGGTGCTCACTGGTTACTGTAGCTGCTCAGTGGTTACTGTAGCTGCTCAGTGGTTACTGTAGGTGCTCACTGGTTACTGTAGCTGCTCAGTGGTTACTGTAGCTGCTCAGTGGTTACTGTAGGTGCTCACTGGTTACTGTAGCTGCTCAGTGGTTACTGTAGGTGCTTACTGGTTACTGTAGGTGCTCAGTGGTTACTGTAGGTGCTCACTGGTTACTGTAGCTGCTCAGTGATTACTGTAGCCACTCACTGGTGTACTGTAGCCGCTCACTGGTGTACTGTAGCCACTCACTGGTGTACTATAGCCGCTCACTGGTTACTGTAGCCGCTCAGGACTGTTTACACTGTCCTCGGCCACTGGTGGGGACAGGCCGGCATTGTCTTTATCTGACAAAGGTGGGCATAGATTCAGATGCTGAGGGTTGAGGTGCCGAGGGTTCTTTCTTTGCTGATTCTTCGCTTGTTCTTGCAGGACGTGGGTTTTTCCTCATTGAGTTGATAGGACCCATCCCCTGCTCACCCTCATGACCAGGGCAGAGTGTGGCTATAGCTTCACCTGTGATCCTTGGCTCCAGGGAAGGATCAGCAGGTGGTTTCAGGTCCAGCTGCGCCCAGGACTTGGGGAAGAGACATTAACTCAAAGTCATGTGCTGATTTGGGGTATTTTCCCCCATGGATATACAGGATGTAAAGGGAAGGATATCATCCAGCAAGGAAAGTCCTGGAAGACTGGCCTGGGTGAAGCGGGCATTTTCTTTTCTGCGTTGGGACCTTCTCACCCACATGCGTGGCCACAAACTTTCTGTGTCCCTGCCCAGCCAGAGTCCTTTGTGTGTGTGTGTGTGGCGACCTGCCTTGGAGTGCAATCAAGTCTTAGCTGTGTCCAGCCAGATAAGCAGGGTGTGCTGGAGCCCAGCCACACCATGAAGCCCAGCTTTCCTGTGGCCCCCACAGCTGGAGTCAGCAGGCCCCCCACCTCCTCCCTCCGGGGTGCTTTTTGCCTTCCCAGGCAGGGCAAGAGGGCCTCCTCTCCTCTCCGAGGCTGCCCCTCCCTGTGACCATGGCCTACAGTGGGAGGGCTGCCAGGTGCACTCGGCTGGTGGTCAGAGGGATGGACAGAGGCCCTGCTGCTCTGCCACCCAGGGACAGTGAGGATCCGCCCATTCTTCTGCTTTTCGTCCCAGAGGGTCAGATGGCGCCGTGACCCGTGAGGAGCGTCAGGGGGGTGAGGCTGTGCTCATGCTCCGTGTGACCACCTACCACTTTCCGGTCGCTTCTCCTCCCATGTCATCCCCACACGGGGGTCCTGGTCAGGCTGCTGGGCTCTCAGAACAGGAGGCTGGATCCCCGCGCTCTGCGCCGCCCATGGGATGCTTGTCTTGCTCCCGCCTCGGGTCCTTTTGTAAAATGGACATGATGCTCGCCGGCCTCCCCGCCTGCTCGCCAGGAAAGCTTGTGGTGAGAGCACGCTCGGTGTGCCCGCGTTAGCCTGTGTGCTTGTTTCCGTTCCAGGCAGCCTCCGCCGCCTCCTTGGCCCACCTGGCGCACATGCACATGGTCCGCTGGGCTGCCTGGAGGCCCTCGCTGGATGCCACCTCTGGGCACGCGATGCTCCCTCTCCAGGGCGGGATCCGGCCCAACCCCTCGCGCTGCCTGGTCTATAAGGCACCCCCAGCCAGCATGAGCTCCGAAGAGGTAAATTGTTAACACTGTGTAAGTATGACTTTTACTGTGAGCTTGTAGTCAGTTCATTCATTTCTAGAAGTTGAAAATTGTGTTTGCCAATGCTTCATGAGCAGAATTGGATCATACCATGGATTTGCCCTTAAGAGCGTGTGGTGCTGAGTCGTAGTCTGCTGTGAGCTCGCGGAGGCCAGCTCCACCTCGGGTCTCTACGTCACTGTTCATGTGTCTGTCTCTCTTGGGGTAACCTGCAGGGCTGTGACTTTTTTGTACCACTTTGCAATGAGATCCCCTTCTGGGCTCTATCTGTCTTTGAGAAAAGGACTTTGAAACATGTGGTGCCCTGCAGACAGGGCCCCTGTGCCACAGGTGCTGGGGAGGGCATCAGGCGGTCAGTGTCCGTCCCTGTGACCCGTCACTCCCACTGCTAGACCCTGGCTCTCTCCAGCGACCTACAGAGGGTAGGACCACAGTAAGATTTTGAAAATTCCACTTTTGAAATGAAAATGAAGCTTTCTCTGAACCCTGGTATGGAAAGCACAAAAAAGTGGGGCAGGCCAGGAAAAGTGTGTGTGGGGTCTCGTGCCCTGGCCCATCGGTGGCCTTGCAGGGTGGGCAGCTGTGACCCAGGGAGCCACAGACACAAGTGAAACCGCTGCCCTGGCTCTGACTTGCCGGGCAGAGCTCTGCTGGGGGCGCTGTCCGATTCTCCGACGTCCACTCCTGAAACGTGCCCAGCCTGTGTTGGCGGGACTCAGATGCCTCATTTTTCTTAGGTGGAGGGACTGTGCCTGTTATTTCAGCATATCACCTGTGTGCTGACTCCAGCGACAAGCATTGTGTCAGGGCTGTTGTTTATGATTTGGATGATGCTTTGGGGACCTGAGCAGGGAACTGCTGACCGTGCAGCTTCCGTTACTGTGAGGAATGCCTCTCGTTACGGGCCGCAGTCGCCGCATCCCACACGGTCTGGTTCCAGCCCTTGTTGTAAAACTGCCACATTACAAGTCCTGCGCCACGGCCAGGTTCGCACTTGTCCTCGCTCCTGTTCTCCCTCCCTCCCTCTGTATAAACAAGTATGTATTTTGCTCAGTTTTAGCCGCCTCGCGCTGCTATATTCCCTAACTTCTTAGTCTGTGCGCTGTATGGGGACTTAACTTCCTGAAGGCTGGGCTGTCTTAAGGACACAGATCCTCCAACGCTGCCGTTTCTGACAGGGAATGTCACCTCCAGTCAGAGCTCCTCCACATCAGCACTGCTGACATTTTGGGCCAGATTATTCTGCGCCCTGGAGGACAGTGGCAGCCCCGGCCTGACCCTCTGACACCAGCAGTGTCCCCCCCTTACCCGCCCCCGATTGTGACCTCCCAGATGCTTACAGACGCTGCCAGACGTCTCCTGGGGGGACAGTCGCCCCTCGTTGAGGACCACTACTCTAAGGAGAGATCGCGAGCAAAGAGCAGCCGCAC